GCCTGCTGTGTTCATCCAGCTCTACACCTTGTTATCTCTATATATAATACATTGACAGGTTTTCATTTTACAGAAGGTGCTCACTGTAAAAGTTTACAGCTTTGAGTTTTGTTTCATTTTAATGGTGCAAATGTTAACGTTTATGGAGACTGGTACAAACGTCCGTGGCAAAGCAGGATTTGTAAGCATGTAGCTTGCTACACCAACCCCAATTTATAGCATTTCACTTTATTCATGTTATGACATGAGGACTTAGTAACAATTCTTGTGCTAAAGACAAAATGTGTTCTCTCTCACTTCATCTGTGGGAAGCTATTTCTGTAATTGAATTTTCCATTCACCTAATAGAGCATGGTATATCCAATATGTCATCTTCAGCCTTATGAGGAAAGGTTGAACAGGCTAGACCTGTATTCACTGGAGTTCAGAATCCTGAGAGATCTTGACAGGGTGGGTGTGGAGATGATGTTTCCTTTTGTGGGAGGGTCTAAAACTAGCAGTTATTTTCAAAATAAGAGATCGTCCATTTAAGACATGATGAGTGAGATTTCATCTCACAGCTGCTGGTGAAACTTTGGAACTCTCTTCCTCAAAATCAGCGGAAGCAGAGTCTTTGAGTATTTTTACGACAGAGATAGATAGATTCTTGATAAGAAAGGGGATGAGGGTATTGTTGGTGAAAGGTTATCTGGCACATTGTACCATCAAGTCAGCCATGATCTAGGTGAATGGTGGATCAGGTTTGAGGGGCTGAATGACCTACTCCTACTCCTTTTTCATAGATCATACAATCCCTACAGTGTGGAAGCAGGCTGTTTGGCCCAACAAGTCCACATCACCCCTCTGAAGAGCATCCCACCCAGACCCATTCCCCTACCCCTGATTTCCCCATGTCTAACCCACCTAGCCTAAACATCCCTGGGCACTATGGGCAATTTAGCATGGCCAATCCACCTACCCTGCACATCTTTGGATTGTGGGAGGAAACCGGAGCACCTGGAGGAAACCCACACAGATACAGGGAAAATGTGCAAACAGCACACAGATAGTCGCCCAAGGCTGGAATTGAACCCGAGTCCCTGGTGCTATGAGGCAGCAGTACTAAACACTGAGCCACCGTGCTGCCCCATTTGTATGTAAGTTCTTGTATTTTTGTATGTAAGTTCTTTTCCCAGAGTAAGGGAGTCCAAAACTAGAGGGCATATGTTTAAACTGGGAGGGGAAAGATTTAAAAGGGACGTAAGGGGTTATCTTTTTTTACGCAGAGGGTGGTGCGTGTATAGAACAAATTTCCAGAGGATGTAGTGGAGGCTGGTACAATTACAACATTTAAAAAGCATCTGGATGGGTATATGAATAGGAAGGGTTCGGAGGAATATGGGCCAAAAGCTGGCAAATGGGACTAGATTAATTTAAAATATCTGGTCGGCATGGATGAATTGTACCGAAGGGTCTGTTTCTGTGCTGTACATCTGTGATTCTATGTATAGGTTCCCATCAAATATTACAGGACTTTTAATAGTATTACTTTTTAAGAGTTTATAGAGAGTTTTGTGTTAGGCCAGTGACTTATAAAGGTTTTATATAACTTCCTTGGTTTTTACTTGACTTCCCTTTTGATAAAACCAATGATTGCATATGCTTTTATAAAAGTTTTTTTAGGTTATTACGTGAATGCCCAGTTGTCCCTGTTCCTGCACCCACTTTCAAAGTCTGGAATATTGTTCGTATTGCCTGGTTCCAAGCAAAATATTTCACTCTGTAGTACTCTGCATTACTTTTCATTTGCTAAGGCTGTGCCCTTTACACCAACCTGTCTATGACCTCCTCAAAGCTGTTTGTGTCCTCTTCATTATTTAATAGTTTTGATATTTATTTTTTCCCAGTTGGCAAACTTTGAAATAAGGTGTGGACAGCCAGGCCTAGATCATTAATACATTTCAACAGGGCAGGGTCATGAGTGTCCATTCCCACTGCAGTCTGCAGGCCAGAAGTTCTAATCTCCTCTTTCAAGTGCACATTGGCAGCATTAATATTCAATCATATTTCTTGCTAACAGGTCTATACAGCTTTGTCAAAGACCTTTTGAAGAACAATTTACACAATAATGCAGTCTCAATCATCAGCCTTTGCAGCACGCTCCAGTCTGCCTCTTAGAGTGGATTACTTTGTAGGACTTTGCAATGAGCATCAACATTCTCTTGATGTCTGTGCCAATATTTGTCTCTCGATCAACATCACAGGAGTGGGGGGGTTTAAGTAAAATCTAAATCATTTATCTCTTTGCTGTTTGTTGGACCTTGCTCTGTGCAGATTGCCTGCCATGTTTGCCTACATTTCAGCTGTGATAATGTTTCAAAAGTGCTCTATTGGCAGTAAGGTACTTCAGGAGAATCTGAGGACATGAAAGTGGCTCTGGCTTGATGCTTTTTCCAACCCAGGCATCATGTTCTTCTCTGATATATTTTGACAGAAGCAGTTGGAACAGTAGTGGAGTGGTAATGATCATTCTGCTCCTATGATGCTGCTTGGCCTGCTGTGTTCATCCAGCTCTGCACCTTGTTGTCTCGGATTCTCCAGCATCTGCAGTTCCCACTATCTCTCATTCTTCAAATGTGTCCACTTTGTACATTACAAGAAGATGCGCTTGTAGTGGTCATGTCCCTGCATTAATTATTTGGAAGAACAAGCTTGAGGCTAGCAGCATTTGAATTCAGGAATTGAAAGCCAGTTCCAGCAACAGTGACTATGAAACTATCATTGGTTGTCTTATGAATCTAGTTGGTTCACTAATGTCTTTGCCTGACTCTGGATCAGCAGTAGCGTAATTGACTCTCACCTGCTCTCTGAAACGATCGAGCAAGCAACTCCGCTCGAGGGCAATCTGAGACAGTTAACTGTTGGCTGGGCGCATCTCATAAAAGAATATTTTTTAAAGACATGATTGTGACCTGTCATGACTACCACTTGGATGGCAACAAAATTGGGATTTTCGTGTTGTCGTTGTTGATGCCTATGAGAATTTCGGCAAAAACGTAGTAAAAAGGAGCAGGAGTAGGCCATTCAGCCCATCAACACCCCTCTGCCATTCAGTATGATCATTTATCTCAGTCCCTTGTTCCCATTTCTACCCAACTCCTTTGATCCCTTTAGCCTAAGAACTATATCGAACTCCTTCTTGAAAACATTCAATATTTTCACCTTAACCACTTTCTGTGGCAGAAAATTCTATATGTTCACCACTCTCTGGGTGAAGACATTTCTCCTCATCTCAGTCCTGAATGGCCTACCCCATATCTTTGGACTGTGACCCCTGGTTAGGGATTCCCCAGTCATTGGGAACATCCTTCTTGTGTTTACCCTGTTAGGATTTCATAGAAACTTATAAAATTCTATTCTATTAAACCCTGGAACTTCCTCCCCAAGGGCATTGTGGGTGAATGTACAACACGTGGACCGCAGTATTCAAGAAGGGAGCTCATCACCACCACCTCAAGGGCAAGGATGACACAGACTCCCTACAGTGTGGAAGGAGGCCATTCAGCCCTTAGAAATAGCACTGATGCTCCAAAGAGCATCCTAGCCAGGCCCTGCACCCTACAGACACACACACACACACACACACACACACCCCTTATCCCCATAACCCCATATTCCCCATGGCTAGTCTGTCTAGCCTACATATCCCTGGACACTATGGGCAATTTAGCATGGCCAATCCACCTAACCTGCACATCTTTGGATTGTGGGAAGAAACCCACGCAGACACGGGGACAATGTGCAAACTCCACACAGACAGTCGCCCGAGGGTGGAATGGGACCTGGGAACCTGGCGCTGTGAGACAACAGAGCTAACCACTGAGCCGCCATGTTGCCCCAAATATTCTGGGTTCTCGGGCTTGAATCCCACTTTGGGATGTGCTGACCTGGTCTTGTAGCCACGGTATTTATGTGGCAAGTCCAGTTCAGTTTTAGGTCAACAGTAACCTCCAGGATGTTGATTGTAGGGCATTCAGTGATGATTGTACCATTGAATGTCAAGGATGGTAGTTTTTAATTCTGTCTTGTTTATGATGGTCTTGCCTGGCATTTGTATGGTATGAATGTTACCTGATATTTTTTAGCGCAAGCCTGGATATTTTTACAGATCTTGTCGCATTTGACCATAGAGTCATACAGCGCAGAAAAGGCCATTTGGCCCATCGAGTCTGACTGCTTCAGCATTTGAGGAGTCGTGAATGCTGAACATGGTGCAGTCATCAGCAAACGTCCCTACTTCCGGCGTTTTAGAAGAATGAGAGGTGATCTTTTCGAAATGTGAAGGTTTTAAGGGGAGTTGACAGGGTGGTTGTTGAAAGAGTGTTTCCCTTTGTGGGAAAGACTAAAAATAGAGGACGCAGTTTTAAAATTTGGGATTTAAGATAGGGTTTGATATCAAGCTTCACTGGGATAGTGTTTTTAGGCTGACACAGTGGAGGGCGGCACGGTGGCTCGGTGGTTAGCACTGCTGCCTTGCAACACCAGGGACCCGGGTTCGATTCCACCCTCGGGTAACTGTCTGTGTGGAGTTTACACATTCTCCCTGTGTCTGCGTGGGTTTCCTCTCACAGTCCAAACATGTGTACATTAGGTGGATTGACCATGCTAAAATGCCCCATAGTGTACAGGGATGTGCAGGCTAGGTGAGTTAACCATGGGAAATGCAGGGGTGACAAGGATAGGGTGGGTCTGTGTGGGATGCTTTTCAGGGAGTCAGTGTGGACCCGATGGACTGAATGGCCTGCTTCCACACTGTAGGGATTCTATGTTTCTTCAGGATTATATGATAAAAATCAAGCCTCATTACTCCCACCGTTCTCACAAAAATGCTGTCAGAGTACATTAATTCCCCAATTTACCTGTCAGATAGACTCCGATTAAAAGAAAGATGGAGCGGGTGCAGCTACAAGCTGTCAACATATTACACTACTCATTAAAACTCTAACCCCCTTCTAAAACCCCTATGCACACACATACAGACACTCAAAGATAAACCTTGGCGTTGTGAAAGAAAAAGTACTGGAGAAGTAGTTACTCGTGCCAATCTTCAAAATTCAATGGATTTTTCCTTTTGTTTCCAGGTCCTTTGGTTCTCTGACCCTTTTCCTTGGGTTCTTACTTCTTCACAGGAGGCACCGAGTGACTGGTTCACAAACTGTGAAGTCTCAGAGTTCTTGGTTGTAAGCAACAGCTAACAGTAAGTCAAATCAAGGCAAAATACAGTGGATGCTGGAAATCTGAAACTGATACTGCCTGGCAGCATCTGTGGTCAGAGAAATAGAGTTAACGTTTCGAATCTGGTATGAGTCTTCTAAACTTTAGAAGTCAAAACACACGGAGGGAGATAGAAAGCAATGACGGTGAACAAGACAAAAGATTAAAACAGAAATCCTGTTGGAGAGGAGAACAGAACTTCTTCAAGTTGGGCATACCTGGAAGAGAAGAAATAAGAACAGTTATGAAGAAGAGTCATGCCAGACCCAAAAAGTTAACTCTTTCTCTTTTGACGGATGCTGCCAATCCTGTTGAGTTTCTTCAGCATTCTCAGTGTTTGCCAACAGCAACTAGTGATTTGATTTATTGTTGTCACAAGTACCTAGGTACAGTGAAAAGTTTTGTTTTCTGTGCAATACGGGCAGATCATACCATACCAAGATCATAGGTTGATAGAACAGAGCGAGGAATGCAAAGTTACGGCTGCATAGAAGATGCACAAAAAGCAAGATCAACGTTAGATTTGAAATTTGAGGGGTAGAAGGGAGAAAATAAACTGGCTTTCTTCGACTTCAGGTATCTTACCGGAGAGAGTGTCATACTATCTTCCCTGCAGCAGACTGAAGGCTTCTGCCAGTATCGTTCACACCCACAAGCTGCTCAGCTACCTAGGAGCCACTCAGATAGTTGGCATCCGCAACTGAACAAAACTTCACAAACCCATCAGTAATCAGTTTCCAGCCAATCTCACACACAGCCTGGTGCTGACCCATCTGTAGCCCACCCCTGCTGCTTTAAAAAAAAGTGTCAATGCAATTTCACAACGTTTTCATTTTAGTAATTTGAGATTTGAAAATTTAGCAATCCCTTCCTCAGAAATTTAGTTTTGAAACAGTCCTTTACTTATTTCAGTCCACAGTCAAAAATACAGAAAAATTAAAAAGTACCGTCCTTACATAGAGAAGGAATTCCAGTCTCTCAGAGAGTCATGAGTCTATGGAACTCTCTTTCACGGAGAGTGGTCAGAGCAGGATCATTGAATATTTTTAAGGTAGGAGTAGACAGGGTCCTGACTAATAAGGGAGTCAAAATTTAACAAGGGATATGTGGGAAAATCGATTGTGGCTACAACCAGATCAACTGTGATCTGATTGAATGGCAGAGCAAGCATTAAGGGACTGAATGGCCTATTGATTTTGTATGATTAAAACAAATCCATGTAACTTATTCTTAAACTTTGTAAAGTTTGTCAGACTTTGAAACCTTATCTTTGTCCTGTTAAGAGATGCTGACTGTTGGGTTTGAATTGCTAACTGGTTACTATGTTGCTTCAAATATGAAGTGGAAAAAAACAGATTGAGTAAGTGAGATGTTCTCTGATTAAGATGACCCTGTTTGAAATTGCTGTCTTTATTTTTCACAGAGCATGGAATTAAGTTAAAGTGACCAATAGATAAGGTACACAGGACTTTAACCCAGACAGGAGTTCTGTCGTTCTTCAAAACAGACTGTAGCAAGCTACACCATAACACAGACACTGTTACACAGTGAACTCATTGAAGGCATAGGAAGAAGAATTGACTTGTCAGGCATTCTCTCACACCACATTCCAAACTCATGATTACTACCACATAAAAGGACAAGGGCAGCAGATACATGTGAACACCATCCCCTGCAAGGTGCCTTCCAAGCCACTCACCATCCTGACTTAGAAATATATATATCGACTGCAGCAGTTCAAGAAGGCAGCTCACCACCACCTTCTCAAAGGCAACTAGGGACAGGCAATAAATGCTGCCCAGCCAGCGATGCCCACATCCGTTAAATCAATAAAAAAAAACAAAGGTTTGTGATTATTTGGAATTCTCTACTCCAACAGGTTGTGTGTGCTTTCTCGTTAAATAGATCTACAGCTGGTATTGACAGATTTTTAGCCTCTCAGGGAATCATAGGATATCGTTTTTTTCCTTCATTCATGGGATGTATATCCAGGAGGATCCAGGTATGTGTTATATCAATCACAAAATGTTAGCACACAGATGCAGCAAGTACTCAGGGAAGTAAATGAAACGTTGGCTTTTATTGCAAACTAAATGGAGAATTTTTCTGCTTATTAATTCATAATATGTGGACATTGCTGGCCAGGCCAGCAATTATTGCCTGTCCTTAGTTGCTCCTTGAGAAGGAATTCGTGAGCCACCTTCTTGAACCACTGCAATCCATGTGCTGTAGGTAGACCATAATGTTCTTAGGGAGGGAATTCCAGGATTTTGACCCAGTGACACTGGAGGAGGAGCAATATATTTTCAAGTCAGGATACTGAGTGCCTTAGAGGGGAACTTGGGGGTGGTAATGATTCCATGTATATACTCATTTGGCCCTGCCTCATTTACTGTTGTTTTTGCTTAAAAGTGACAATTTAAATTTAATTAGCAAACCTGGAATTGAAAGCTCATCTTAGCAACTGTGCTGTGAAAGCCACTATTGATTGTTGTAAACAATCTCTTTCACTCATATTCTTCAAGGAAGAAAATCTGCCATTCTTAACTGGTTTGGCCCACATGTAAGTCCAGAAAAAAGAAAGAGGGAAAAGATAAGCAATGAGGGTAAACTATGAAGCAATATGAAAATGGGCAGTAAGAGCTTCTTTAAATATATGAAAGGAAATAGAATGGCCAAAGTGAACATAGGCCCCTTAGTGAATGGTGCAGGGGAAATAATAGTGGGGAACCAGGAAATGGCAGAGGAGTTAGATAAATGCTTTATATCAGTCTTCACGATGGAAGAAACTAATAATATTCTAAAGTTAGTAAATTATCAAGGGGAAAAAGGTGGAGAGGGAATAATTACAGCAACTATCACTAGAGATAGTAAATGCACCGGTAGTAATCTTCAAGGAATTCACTGTATTCAATTCTGGTCTCCCTGCTATAGGAAGGATTTGTGAAACTTGAAAGGGTTCAGAAAAAATTTACAAGGATGTTGCCAGGGTTGGAGGGTTTGTGCTATAGGGACAGGCTGAGTAAGCTGGGGCTATTTTCCCTGGAGCGTTGGAGGCTGAGAGGTGACCTTATAGAGGTTTATAAAATCGTGAGGGGCAATAGGTGGGGTGAATAGCCAAGGTCTTTTTCTGCAGGGTAGGGGAGTCCAAAACTAGAGATGAGAGGGACAAGATTTAAAAAAGACCTGAGGTGTAACTTTTTCATGCAGAGGGTGGTGCGTGTACAGAGAAAGTGGTGGAGGCTGGTACGATTACAACATATAAAAGTCATCTGGATGGGGACATGAATAGGAAGGGCTCAGAGAGCGGTGGGCCAAATGCCGGCAAATGGGACTAGATTAATTTAGGATATCTGGTTGGCATGGATGAGTTGGACCGAAGAGTCTGTTTCCATGCCGTATATCTCTATGACTCTATGAATCCTTGGATTCTGGAAAAGTCGCAGAGGATTGAAAAATAGCCAAAGTAACACCTTTATTTTTTTAAAAAGACAAAAAGCAGGTAACTATAGGCGAGTTATCTTAATGTCTGTTACTGGAAAACTGTTTGAGTCTATTATAAGCGATGTAATTACCAGCGCGTTTAGAAATACATAATACATAAATGTGACTCAGCACCGATCCCTGTGGCACTCCACTAGTTAGAGATTGCACATTAGGCCACTTAATAAGATCAGAGCCCATGGTTGTTGGGAGGTAGTACATTAACATGGTTAGAGGATTGGCTTACTAATAGAAGACAAAGTGTTGGAATAAGGAGGGGTGCATTTTCAGGATGGCAATCTCTAACTAGTGGAGTGCCACAGGGATCGGTGCTGAGTCACATTTATTTACAATATAATGGATAAGAAAAGTGAATAGCTAAGTTTGTGAATGACACAAAAATAGGTGGGAAACCAAGCAGTGAGGATAACTTTATAAGTCTGTGAAGTGATACAGGCAGTTCATGTAAGAGTACAAAAACTAGGTGGATGGAATATAATGTGGAGAAATGTGAGGTTCTGCACTTTGGCAATACAAATACAGGAGCTGAATATTATTTAAATGGTGAAGGACAGAAAGCTGCAACACAGAGGGATTTGTGAAATCTTGTGCATGAATCACAAAAGGCTAACATCGAGGTTCGGTGTGTAATAAGGCAGGCAACTGGAAAGTTGGCCTTTATTTCAAAGGGAGTGAAATATAAATAGGAGTAATTTTGCTATCAGTTCAGCCATGGTCTCAGTGAAAGGCAGAGCAGACTTGATGGGCCAAATAGCCCACTCCTATTTCTGTGGTCTTTTGTAGATGGACATAGTTAGGTTGAATTGAGTGAGCAAAAATCCAAAAGATGGAGTATTGTGTGAAAATGGGACATTGTTGACTTTAGCAGAAACAATGAAAAAACAGAGTATTAACTAAATGTTTGAAGGGCTGAATGGTCTACTTATGCATCTATTTGTATGTTCATTAATAGTATTAGGAGATATGTGGAACATCACAACCTGCAAATTCCCCTCCAAGCCACTCACCATCCTGACTAGAACCATATCACCGTTCCTTCAGTGTTGCTGGGTCAAAATCCTGGAATTCCCTCCCTAAGGGCATTGTGGGTCAACCTACAGCACATGGACTGCAGCGGTTTAAGAAGGCAGCTCACTACCACCTTCTCAAGGGGCAACTAGGGACGGACAATAAATGCTGGGCCCAGCCAGCAACACCCACATCCCCTGAATGAATGAATACCAACTTGTGGATGAGACCACAACCAGAAGTATTATTATAATTAGTAATAACTGAGGAGAAAGTACTGCTCCTGGAGAGTGTTGGTCATGCACAACCTCACTATCGTTAGGAGTAGTTGACGTGAATGGGGGAAGTTAGATGAACTCACGAGGAAGAGAGGTGCGATGAAGAGAGGTAGGAGGAAGCTCATGTTGAGGGGAAGCAGAAGATGGGCCGATGGATGTTTCTGTGCTGGTGGGACTGTCATATTAAAATATATATGAGTAATGACTCGCTGATGGTATGCTGATGACTCGTAGATAGTAGACACTGTGAACTGTGAGCAGGATGTAAAGAGGCTTCACCTAATTTAGACGAGTTGAATAAGTGGGCAAATGCATGGCAGATACAGTATAATGCTGATAAATGTGAAATCGTCCACTTTGGTAGGAAAAGCAGAACGACAAGAGTATTATTTAAGTGCTGACAGATTGAGAAAGATTGACGTACAAAGGGACCCAGGCATCCTTGTACAGCAGTCAGGAAAGCAAATGGCATTTGGCCTTCACTGCAAGAGGATTGGTGTACAGATGTAAGGATGTCTTACTTCAGCGATACAGGGCTGTGATAAGACCACAACCCTAGAATTGTATGCAGTTTTAGTCCCTTTTCCTAAGAAAGGTTATACTAGCCATGGAACAAAAACAAAATTGCTGGAAAAGCTCAGCAGGTCTGGCAGCATCTGTGGAGGAGAAAACAGTTAACGTTTCGGGTCCAGTGACCCTTCCTCAGAACTCAGT